GGCCACGGAGGAGAGCAGCGAACCCCTCTGTGAAGACGATTTTGAAATGTTTTACGAAACCTGGGAGAAGTTTGACCCGGATGCCACCCAGTTCATTGCCTACAGCACCTTGTCTGACTTTGTAGACACCTTGCAGGAGCCGCTCAAAATTCCCAAGCCAAACAAGATCAAGCTAATCACCATGGATCTACCAATGGTTGCTGGGGACAAAATCCACTGTCTAGATATCCTCTTCGCCCTGACTAAGGAAGTGCTGGGAGACTCAGGAGAGATGGATGCCTTGAAGGCCACCATGGAGGAGAAGTTCATGGCTGCAAATCCCTCAAAGGTTTCCTATGAACCCATCACCACCACTCTGAAAAGGAAACATGAGGAAGTCTGTGCTACAAAAATCCAGAGGGCTTTCCGGAGGTACCTCCTGAGGCGCTCGGTGAAGCAGGCATCCTACATGTACAGGCACAGTAAGGATGAGGATGCCCTGAGAGAGGACGCACCCGAGAAGGAAGGTCTGATTGCCACCAAAATGCACGAGATGTATGGGAACAGTGGGACAGATGTGGAGACAGCCCCTGCCTTCGGTCTTGCACCCGTTCCCAGCTCAGAGACTCGAAATGCTCCTGGTGAAGCAAAAGTATGGGATAAGGAACGTGTCGTGAAAGAGTCGCTGGTATAACAGAAAGAGGTTTCCATCTCTCGCCCAGCTGGAAAAGACTTGATTTGTGTCTCCTTTTTCAAGAGCTCTTCCATATACAGATCAATAGATCTTAGATATTGAGCTAATTTCAGATATTTCAAGTAGACACCTTAACTTTTGAAGCAGGATGTCTTACTGATCCTGGTTTTTACAGCTCACTGCACTTGCAAAGAGGTTAATATTTTTCTTATGAGAATTAAATGTGAAATCTGTTGTTGGTGAAAGAGAAACATTTTAGTTTTGAAATGATCTCATCATGGTAACGATGTTTTTCAGACATTAACAAATTAGTATGGCCGTCCTTTTACTTAAGGTAATTATTTATTAATGTTATTTCACAATTAAGAGATTTTCTTGTATATTATTCTTCCAGAGTGCAGCCAAGTAGCCAGTGAAAGATGAGCCAAGTGAAATAATATTAAGAATAATTACAGAAAAGACAAGGTTTTGTGAACAAAAATCTCCAATGTCTTAAAAGTAGCACCTTTCTTTTGAATATTTGAATAAGCTTTATGGATTTTTTTTTTTTGTTATATACAGAGAAAGTGCAATTATGTCTTAAAGATTTGTTTGCATAGCCAAAACAAAACATCTGCAGATATGTTCTCAGGGTTAAATATCAGGTTTTAAAGGTCTCTGAATATGCATTGAAATCATAAATCATTCAGGTCTCTACGGTACGAATGTAAACAGTATTTACAGTCATGATTCTTCTCTCTTTTCCCGTTTCGTCCAGATTTTGTGGCAGGAAAGGAACGGACAAAGGTAGGGTTTGGAAAACCTCCTCCGAGAATCCCCAGTCCCTGTAACAAAACCCTCTAGGGTTTTTTCAAGCCCCATAGCAAGAGGAAATGTCCCGCTGGAGCGCTCTTGGTTAGCGTTAATTAACGAGACGCCTGCCCGGGGATCGGAGCAGGTGTTTGAACGGTCCTTGCAATGAGCTGCTTCGACGGGGTCCCTTAAATCCCGTCGGCCACCGAGTTCCGGGGGCCTTAATGCAATGAATGCTCCCACCGGGGGTGTAAATCCCAAAATAGTCGGGCAGAGCACCCTTCCCTTGGCGGGGGCTCTGGAGGTGACCCAGTGGCTTGTGCTGGGGTCTCTGCAGAGCCTGGTGGGGCCAGGCAGGTCCTCACCAGGAAACCTCCAGGCAGAGGAGCATTTTCCCAGGGGGGAAGCGTTTTGCTGCTCTCTACGCAGGTGGGCAAAAGGAAAGTAAATCAAGAAAAATGTGCAAAAGGCCCCAAGTTCATCTCTGGACTGTCTTCTGCCTTCAAAAGGGAAAAAAAAAATAACAAACCTCTTGAGATCCAAACAAACATGAACCAAAACCTCTTCCAGTTTAAACAAGGGCTACTTCTTGAAGCCAAAGGGTCTGTCTTTTCGTATTTTTTTTTTTTTCTTGGGCTGATTTTGGCGCTGAGCCGTTGCGGATGCCCCATGTTCAGGCTGGCCAGGAGCAGCGCCGAGCTTGCTTGCATCCACGTGCTGTCGGCCAGGCGGCAGAGCCGGGGTTGCTCTGCTCATCCCGTAGCGTTGTGCTTCCATTTCCATGTTGCATAGGGTGATGCTCCCTGGAACAGGAGCCTGAGCCGCTTTAAATGGCGTTTGCATGGGAAGCGTCCATGGCACAGCGATTTCCAGCCCGGATTGTGGTTCACAATCAATGCTGCTTGTATGTATGTGTTGTCGGTGATGGGAAAAATGTCAAAGAGCAGGATTTGTGTGAGCTTAAAGCCATATTTCTTTGTACATTTCTTAAAATAAACAACTTTAAATGGTCTATTATTACAATAATAATGCGTTGGTGTGTCTTAGAGGGGAAAAATGTTTTCCCTGCCCCTGGAAGAGGTAAATGCCTCCTCCCTTTGCTCCAGGGCAGATATGGGGAGCCCCTGTGCGTGGCCTTGGCTTGCCCCTGCCGTTCTCAGCAGGACCTGGTGGTTCCATCCTGCACAAGAGACCCCCTGGGCTGCCTCCCCCTGGCACCTCCAACCCAGCCCAGACCCCAGCGCTTCTGCTCTGCTCACCAAGTCCCCTGGAGCCCTTGGTGTCTCACAGCAATGAGCCCTGACTCTAGGAGCTATAGGAGACGCTGCTGCAGGTTCAA